AAGTTCATATATAAATCCTTGGAGGGCCAGTATGAATGTCTGTGCCACATAAAAGGCAGCAGTATTAGCCAAAGAATTTATCCATAAGGCCAGGACCACCCCAATGGGCCCTGCCTCCCCTACTCTCACATCCAGGCTCAAGCACCACAAAAATTAAGCCCTGCAAAGAGAAGACCCCAGAGTCAGACATGTGCCTCTCTTTCTTCCCTTGTGTGGGGAGCCAGCATAGGGAAAGGCAGGAAAGAGTAGGCTCATTTCCCAAATGTGGGAAAGAGACAGTAAATTAGTTATGGCTAGGAATTTTAAACCAGATTAAATAAGACTTTTAATGAACAATCATGGGATCTGAGGAGTTTGGGGATATATTCAAGGCAAAATCAAGGGAAAAGAGAGTTAGAGCATAGGAAGTGACCAAACACTCTAAAACTGTTTTATGGGCTGTTCAGTAGACCAAATACATTAGTCATCTTGCAACTCAGGCACTCTATCACAGCCTGCGCTTCCAATCCCCAGCTGCTCCTCATTTTGTACTCTGAAGAACTCCATGATCAATCCTGATGCTTGCTTCTGTAGGAGAGCTCTTTCAGCTCATGGGTGAAAGCTGACAGCTGCTTTTATCTTGCGTTCTTATTGTGTCTTCCAATCTAGATAATTAAACAACTTAAAGTCAGGGCACAGTGGCTCTGCATAGATTAGGCCAAGTTTGAGTAGAAAAATCTCAGCTGAGATTCTAAGTATCTCCAACAGATGGATTCTAAATCCCATCAAACTGGATACCTTATACCTTTCCATTCATAAACAATGCAGGAACTAAGCCAAGAGCCTTTGTCTAATGGTTGATCTGCATGTCCCTCTACAGAAAGACTGGATGTTCCAGGGATGGAAACCAGTATTTTACAGAGCTGGAGGTAGAGGTAGGTAGCTAAGGCCTTGCATCTCTTTCTGAAAGGAACAGTTTAGGGACAGAGATCAAGTTAGTTTATCCGACTGCACTGCCTCAGTGAATAAAAACTATAGTATACTTAGGAAGACCATGTAACTATAGAAGAGAACCACATAGCTACAAGCTTTTAGATTGAGGTGCTTATTGGAAATTTAATTCTTCTGAAAAATCAGACTCCCACCAGAACTCAGATGTCTCCCTAAGAACAGAAAACTGAGCATACCAAAGAAGTTAATGTCTATATCTATGGTGAAACTCCTAGGAGGAGACCAAAGGAGATGTGTGGGATGGCCCTATTTTATTTGCCATACCTTACAGGTTGCTCTTCATGGGCTGGAATGGAGCTAGCATCTAAGAATGCTACCTATAAGTCTACTTTTATATTATTTTTAATTTCTACCCCATCTCAAGGAGAGCACATTTCCTCTGATTTTAGGTTAGGATCATTTTGAAATATCCAAAACGGTTAGTTAATGCCTTCATACATTCATTTGTTCAATAGTGATTTATGGAATAACTCTAATATGCCAGGTACCTGAGCTTAAAATCCCAAGTTCTGAATGTTTCCAACCCTCAGTCCCTCCCATTTCCCCAACCCAAGATGTCTCAGAAAAACAAATGCCCTTAACCAAGCTGCAGGAAGGTGAGTATGAGAAGTATCATGGATAGTCACAAATTTCAGAACAACAAAATCTTCCTGGGGAAAGAATATGAAAAAGATGTAATCTTTACTTTGTATTCTTATACTGTGGTAATTAAATCACACAGACATGTAGTTTTCAGTGTGGAAACTTCAGTGAGAAGCAGGTAGGACTATTCTTCATGGGAATTAGTGTTTCTAATGGAAATCCTTATATATTTAGTGGAATCAAAATGTTGGGACACCATAGAGCAATTTGATGCTATAGAAATAGTGGCTTTTAGCTTTTGTCTGGGTGATAAATTTGTCATCTTTATGTTATTTCAGAAAAATACAGAAGTGGAACTTTCCAATTTATGTACTTGTTTTCATATCCATTGAACATCAAGTATGTTTCCAACATTTAAAATATGTTTTGGTCTGAAATGTGTTGGACATTGGATGGAAATTCCTGTCCTATGCCTGTGGGTGAGAAGAAAGTTTGGGGTGACAATGAGGAGCAATGGTAACTTTAAAGGAAGATTTGCTCACCTTCACACTCTCAGCTCATCGAGTAAAGTGATTTGGACTTGCATTTTGTTTTTAGCTCCACTCTTGTGAAGGTAAAGAAATTACTGTGTGAGCTCAGCCTTGGCCCCCAGCCCTGGGCTATTATGCCAGTTAATCTGTGATAGTGGGGTCAGCATATCGAATATCTACACATTTATTCTAATTTCAAATGAACTGGACTCAGATAATTTTTCCATATTGTTTTTATTTTTAACTTTTTAAGCCTATGAGTTTTCTTTGAGGCATTTCTTTTGTCAGGTAGGAGAAGCCATGGGAGGAGAAGAAAAGGTGAAAAGGAGGAAATGAAAGCTTTCCTTAACATATTCAGGCAAACCTGTCTTTTTTCCATGGGGCAAGAGATGGGCAGGACATGCAGTCGGGCTGTTGTGGATGGCACTGCACTGGTCTCTGTGGACCTTTCCATGCAATGTTTTAAAAATTATAGCCATAAGGGAATACAGCAAATATTTGCTGTGGCTTTGAGAAACACACACATGAGAGCCTTTTATGATGCTTTCTGTGCTTCAAGACTGCAAATTTCTGGCCTGTTGTTTCACTTGCTCGAGCTGGCAGTTTATCCTGAAAAACAGCCCTACAACCCTCGCCCTTGTTCTCCCTCAAGTGAGTGTGCCAGACTGCATGTTTGCTTTGCCCACGGCCTCTCCATGGGACAGTGGTTCCAGTTCTTTGCTTGATTCAGGCTTTTGAACTGAAACTTGAACACTCAGCAGAGCCTCACAGAGCTACACAAGAGGAATCTGGATGGGATCCTGACCCTGGTCCTTCCAACTTCTACTCTGCCCCATCCCTGCCCATCTCCCAGTCCTTGCACTCTCCTGAGGTTGGCAGCTGGGAAGAAAAAGCCTGATGGTAACCATGAATTCTCTTTTATCCACAGTTCTGTCCTGGAATCAAATTGCTGACAACAGTGACACCTTTCCTGAGGGAAACACTTGACACTGGGCTGCTGGATCATTATGTGTCCTTTAAAAAGCCAGTGCAGTGCAAGATCATTTCTAATGGAGAAGTGGGTTTGGAGAAGAGCCTTTAAAGTGAAAGATAATTAAAACACCAGGAGAGAAATTTTTGGAACATAGAGACTCAGATCAAAGATACTCTTTTGTGACACTCCAAATGGCTAAGACGCCATCACCAGATTCTCATCAAAGCCCTTATCCTTAGTAATGTAATCTGTTGTTTACTTTTCAGATATATAGACAAGAGGATAACTTCCAAAAAACTATGATTCCATTCACCAGTTCAACTCCATATGGCTGTACCTGCAAAGGTATGTCTCACAGCAAGCACTTAATAAATGTTTTTTGACCTAAACTGAAATGTTGATAGCATGAGGAAGTCAGAGCAGATGTGAGAAAGAATAAGATGGAAGAGATGGGATTAAAGCTGCTAATAGAAGTGAATATTTTTTCTTCCTGTGGGTCATGTAGCTGAAACTTTTTTTGTGTAGTCAACAAAGACTTCTGAGAACATTTGTATAGGTCTGGTTTCTACACAGGAAATAAGATGCTAACTGTGACTTCCTTCACTACCTACTCCCTCTCAGCACTCCCTAGATTCTGAGAGAACGAAAGTCACCAGACCTCTCTAAACTATCCAACACCAAAATGATGAGTCTGCCAACATTTAGACCTACATATTTTTCTCACCTTCCTGTTAGAGAAATAAACAGTTCCTGCTGCTGCCAGAGACCATGTTTAGGTTCCTGTCTTCTTTCATACACTCAAGGATTAGGTTTCTACAGTTGTCCTGAAATCATCTCCTCTCTTTCATGCACTGACAGTTTCTCCTTCTCTGAAGAATCATTCTTATCAACATATAGCTCCCATTTTAGCTGTAGACCCATTTCTCTGTCCCTATTCATTTCAAAGCTCTTCATAACAGTATATCTATCTCTAACTCTGAGTCTTCTATATTCCCTTTAATCCATCCCACTCACATTTTTATTTCCAAACTCTGCTGAAAATGCTCTGTTCAAGGTCACCAGTGGTTTCCATCCTGCCAAAACCAACAGACCTCCTATCTTAACCCAATTTGTTTCAATGACTGTTCTTTTCTGCTGTTCTTCAAAGTACTAAGCTCATCCTCCTTATGTACTTGCAGCTTCCTTTTCCTGGAACATGCTTCCTTCAGGCCTTCACCAACTGTTTCCCACACCTCAGTCAAATCTCTGCTCAGAGACATCCTCACTGACAATAATATCCCTCGCCATCCCCTGCATCAGCCTCTATTCCCTTGTCCCTCTCTGCCTTCCTTCTTAGCACTTATCATTGCAGAAATTATATGTTTATTTGCAAACTACTTTACATGCTATCTCCTAGTAGAATATAAACTGCAAGAATGTAAGGAATTGCCCTTTCCATAGCCCCAGAATTCAGAACTTGGTTGGCACATGAACACCTTTCAACAAACAATTATTGAGTAATGATTGAATGAAGACACAACACTGAATGAAGACTGAGCCTCTATGAAGCTCAATCTAATTAGGGATGATGATGATGATGATGATGATGATGATGATGATGATATGTGACAGTAAGTTCCATCTGTGTGCGTGCATATATAACTATTAAATCTTCCCAGTAATATGTGAAGGTATGACTGAGATAGTATTTTGTACCCTTTATGGATAAGGAGACTGAAGGTTTAGGAGAATTACTAACTTGTATAGGATTAGACGGTGGTCAGCAGGAAGAGCAGTAATTCAAACATAGGTCCTTGTGACTCCAGTGTTGTGCTCTTCAACCCTGAAATCTTTGAGGCTGCAGCCTGGCAGCATATGAAAAGGTTACTCCACCTGTTCGGATTGTTTTAATGTGTATGTGGTAGTTCCTCCTACTTATGAACAGGCAATACCCATTTATGCTTGCTTAGTGAAGAGCCTGACTCTACTCATTTTGCTATAAAAGCAGTATCTATGCCAGAAGCCAAAATACACAGGGTTGGTAAACATTTTGTACTTGGTTACAAGTACAAAACCCAAATCCAGTTAATGTTGGCTATGTGTGATATGGTTGTTCACTAGTTTTAGGAAATATGTAGGTGGATTCAATTCCAATTCGAAGACATTCCTTGGTTGTATTTCAGCTGAATGTTTTTGGAAATTAAAACCTTTTGATCTATTTGGGCTTGTTTCTGAGTTCAGCACAGTTTGTTCCCTGTCATGGTTTATAGTCAGGTTTGGTGCAAGGCCTTGGCTACTGGGTTCCATGGCCTAGATTTCCTGCAGGCCCACAACCTGCCCCAGTGAACATGGAGATGCTGAGAGAAGGTTTGTTCCAAGACTCTGTGTTTTGGAAGTCTGGGTTCAGCTGAGAATGCTGGACTTCTTCCAGGCCAAACACACATGTAATCTTAATGCTTCCAAGAGATACATTAAAAAATAAAAATGACCAAATGAAATTAATTTTAATAGTATATTTCATTTAGCCCAGTATACCAACATATAATCTATATAATTATTAAGTCTTCCCTGTATTTTGTATCTGTAGCACACCTCAAATTAGATCAGCTACACTACAACTGCTCTATAGGCACATATGGCTTGTGACTGCTGTGTTGGACAGTGTATCTTCACAGGGAGTAAGAATGGACTTTGATTTTTGTGTTGTTATTCATGATGATAACTATGTTATAATTATTTTCTCAGAATATACCAGCCACATAGTATCTTTGATTGGGAAGGAAACTTAAAATTTCTCTAGCCTAATTATCCATTTGACGCTTGAATCTTTCCTAAAGTATCACTTAAGATGCTAAAGTTTCATCTAAGATGCTAAGATATTCTTGGATAAGAGTTCATCAATATCTGCTCACACAGTAATAAAGAATTTTTCCCCTCTGAGGTAACTTATTCCAACTCTGGCCAAGCTTTCACTATTATAATATGCTCCTTTTAATTGAGCTGAAAATCCAATCCAATTTATGTTTTTATTGAACCCACAACAAATAAATATGATTTCTTGCAAAGAACAGTTACTTTTATTTATTTTTTTGGTACTGGGGATCCAACTTGGGTTCTTATGCTTGAGGGGCAGGCGGAGAGCTGTTACTTTTATATTTGAAGATAGCTAGCATGTATTCTTGTGTTTCCTTCATCTCCAAATAAGCTGCTTTCTTGCTTCTACACTACTCTTGATAGTGTAAAGTCTTGTTCTTGTTCCATGAATGGACTCCAAATTCTCAGTGTCTGTCTTAAAGTGTGATACCCAGAGTTAAACAAAATATACATGCATAGTCCCAGCACCCCAAAATAGAATGAGACTTTCACACACACACACACACACACACACACACACCCCATTATCACAACTCACTGTTGCCTCATACCGAGCTCCTTGATACACAACCTGTTAGTATGGTCTTCATGCCATATCTTTCTTATGTTTTTATTTGGAAATACCAAAAAGTGGGCATGGTCCACATTCATCTGACTGTGGGGAGTTGAGGACAATAAAAGTAAAGAAGATAATGTGAGAAACTTAAAAGACATTCTATATTTTGTCTTAGAATCTGCAATACAATTATATTTTTTGATATCTTATCCAGTGTATTAGTGGGCTTTTTCAAATAATTACTTGTTATTGCAAAATTATGATGTATAAGCTTTTTATTTAACTCATCAATTACACTTTTGTTTATGTTATATCTAAAGACAAATTGTTAATTACATTAGGGCTCTACTAAGCAGTATATTTTAGATAAATGTGCTCAATGAATTTTAGCTACCAAATTACTGTCAAATAGGTCTGTATTTCTTGATTGGTATTACCAGACCTTGAGAAATATTTTTTTCAGTATTGTGTTCTGGAACTGTCTTCTCCCCACCTTTGCCTAGAAATTTCCTGGTTATTATTATTTGTTTTCTTTTAGTTATCACCACTTCTTCCAGATTGCTAGCATTCTTGCATGCTTCCACAGTTGCATAACTGCCCCCTCATAGCAACATAGCCATACTCTTGTAATTTTCTATCTGCCCATGTGTACCAATAGATTGTAAACTACACTAGGACTGGGATTGACGCTGGTGGATTCTAAGAGGTTATCACAGTACAAAGTAGATGCTTGATAAAAGCTTTTTGATTAAATGAATAAATCCTCATGACCACATGCTAAAGTAATTATTATCATCCTGTTTATAGATGAGGCAGTTGGAGCTCAGCGAATTTAGTAACCTTGTTAAGGCACTCAGAGGCTGGTAAAGTTGTGGTTCAAGTTCTAGGATCTGAATCTGGATCTAACACTGTCATCATAAAACAATCCACACATGCCTCCCATATATTTCCCAATGTCTGAAGTTCCTTAAGAAACCAGAGGACTTTATTGTCTTACTGGAGATAACACTTAAAATGCAAGTACCTACTTATTACACTTCTGTTGTGCCACAGGGAAAGTATAATAAAGGGACTTCTAGTTACACTAGAGAATTAAATACTGATGCCAGATTATCTCCCATAATCGGTCTGATTTGAAGAGAGGGTGAGCCTAGTATTCTTGTCATGCAAATTTTTACAAATCATTTTTAATCCCTCCATCTTTTAGTTACCCATAGTAAATTCTTGTTATTTTATTTACTTGGTTTCTTAATTATATAAGAACACATCCCCATCTTATGTTCTCTTTCATATGAATTACCATAATCACAAATAATTTATTTTAAATAATATTCTTATGGTAATGCAAACATGACATGTTTTGTTGAAAAATTTTAAAAATAACTTTAAGATCTCATAGAAAAAAATTTACCTCTACACATCTATTTCTTTTTTCTTTTGCAAATACTTATACATTTTCTCTAAATTCAGAATCTATCAAATTTGTCTTCATTTAATGTAATATATTGAGAATTTTCCATATCATTAAATATTTCCACTGCATGATTTTTAAATGATTGGATATTTCACTGTAGGTATGTTCCGTATGCAATATATATCTATAGATCTACAAAAATCAACTCTTTTTTTTATTTATTTTTTTAAATCAACTCTTTATTGTGAATATTCAAGATTGTTTTAGCTTCTATAAATAATATAGCAATATTTATCCTTGGATAGTAATCTTTGCACACATAACTTCTAAAGGAGAGGGTTTTTTCCCTCATCTAATTAGTCATATGCTGTGCTGGATCTTATTAGGAAAAGAACTCCCCATAACTTACAAGATTTTGGCCCTTAGCAGCAATCAGATTGAATCAAGGATTAGAATTACTGACTTTGAAATACCTAAATTTCTCATTTCTATTGCTTTTCCCATTTTCTCATGGAATTATGG